AAAAAATAAGTGCATTGACATAAGTACATAGTATCTAAAGACACCCTAAGATAAAGTCAGGCCGAATAAAAAAAATAAAGTAAATATTACATGAAACAGAAAAGGGATGTCAAACACTAGTTCTGAAACCAGGTCATGGCATGACAAAAATAGAGAACCGAAAGGAATGCAAGGTGCAGATGATAGCATATGAGGCCTTTCTCATGCACAAAAGAATGTTATCTGGCCTGTTAACAAAGCGAGATGTTTGAATCTCAGACTGACATTCGGAGACCTGCCGTGTAAGAAAGCATGTGGCCGGACGTGTTTGGATGCCTTCACCATCGGGGGACTTTCTGTGCTGTAATGTCTAAAACTATTTCTCTCTTATTGTTTTCATTTGATGGATTTGAGCAGATAAGCGTTAACTAGTTATCGGTAACTCAAACTGCAAATATTTGACGGGCAAACAATCACACATCACATCATCAAATCAGTGTGAGCAGTGACAGAAAGGGAATCGAAAGATGAAGTATTGCAAAATGCGAATTTTTACGATGAGCAAGAAAAATAAATTCCGGCATGGCCTTCTGATGTTCTTGAGCACTTTAAGAATGTGTCCCTCAAGACATCACGAGACAAATTTGAAATCATACTAACTTGCTATTGACAACTTCCTCCAGGTAGGTGGCTCAACACATGCTGTGATATTCTTTACAACACCCTTATTACCTCCATTTAATTTGTCACAAAAATAATATGTCATTCTTGTTTGCTGATTGTATCCAACAATAATGTAGTTCAAAATGATCAATATTATATCAAAAAACATATTAATGCATGTTGTAATATCCTTCACTGTATTAACTAAAATTTAGAATTTCAATGAACTCAAAATTGAGGCAACCAGTTAACTTAATTTAAGTTTACAATGCCCATTTCCCTGTCAATAAGAACATGCATAAACATGTATTTTCCAAATAATGGTTTACTCCCTTTACAGTTAAGATGACTCCAGATCCTCTCACCTGATCTTATCTCCTTGGGTGATTTCTTCAATGTCTATAGTTGCACTTTAAATATATTTTAATAGGCAAAAAGATCTTACCTAATAAAAGTATTTTGATTTCTCTCCGTTCTCTTTTCTTCTGGTCAGCAAGGATTCTTTTGATTTCATTGTGAACGGCCATGGCACTCTTCTCATCTTCAGACATGCAACAGGTGCACGTCGTATACCACCATCTCCAACAGCACCCCATTTCTCCTATAGGGCAGAATGAAACTTTATGAAGACCACATTTGATTTCAGTTACCCTTTTAATATAATGGCTCTTAAGAAAATGGGGAATTAAGAAATGTACAACGTATAGGTTACAATTGCAAGGTTGTTTTGAGTCGAATCTTTCGAAAGGAATCAATTGAACCGGTTCACAAAACCGTCTGAACAATTTGTTCATGACTGTATCGGTCCGAGAGGTTCTTCAGTGAATGATTGATTAGTAAGTAAGTAGCATTTAAGTGGAGAAATGTTTGTAGCTAAAAAAAAAAGTAAATGAATTATATCAAATTGTATTTATGTACATATAGGCCTATAGGCTACTTTGTTTTTATGAGCCATGTTGGCTGCAACAAACTGAACTGAGACACACGAGCTTGAAATATGCTAGAGACTGAGGTAATTGCGTTGTGACATAAAATAATCACTTAAATCGTTTTATTCACTGCTCGAAAGAACCGATTCGCGAAATGAGCCGAACTTCCATCATTAGTGTAGTGCCTAGCCTTAAATGTATAAAATTCTATTCGAATGAATACTTAGGCTATGTATTAATGGACTATTCTGGGGAAAATCAACTCTAGTTTAATTATGATATTGTTTTAAAGCTTAATTTGAAAGAAATACATTTTACAATCTCGGACTTCCCCTAAGAAGAAAAAGATGAAACCTAATAGGCTATAGGCTACTTATAATTACAGGTTGGCAGTGCCTTTTATTGTACTTAAATGTATGTAGTTGAGAATGTACTTAAATAGAGACTATAATAAATGCGTTGAATCACTTACCTGCATTCGTCGACACACCTGTACGGAGTCAGTAAAACGAAACACGATCCATTTTCCTCCCTGAGCCGAACTGGATCTGAACTAACTTCAATCTCCTGTAGAAGCTTTCTCAGAGGTTTCCCCCCCGAAAAAAATAAAAAAATCCAGATTTATCTGTACATCTATCTTTACATCATTTCCCCCTGGCTTCAGACAGATCTACCTGCAATTCAGGAAAGTCCTTCTTGAACTCTGTGAATATGCGCTGTCTCAAAACCTAAATCGGCTGCCTACTTAGACAGTGGTTTGAGGCATTTAGTACCAAGCGTTCTTGTGTTTAAATGCTGCTAAACGGAGTGCAACGGAACAGAACGGAGGGGTCTCGAGGTGCTTTTCAATAGTTTTTAGCTTGACGAAAAACGCTCGAGACGCGACGCAAGACTGACGCATGCGTATAGACGAAAAAGTACGCGCCCGCGTGAACGCCCCCCTAGGCGTGCACCAGTCAGCATTTTTAAGCATCATATCTCCTAGAAATGCCGTCTTAGTGGACACTGGACAGCTTCCTAAGTTTTTAAACACATCCGTTAATAAGTGGAATGAACGCTAAAGTGAATATAAACCTAAAAGCTGTATTAACCCATATAGACAATGAATAGAATAGTAGCCTAGGCTACTGATACTGACCCAAGAGGATCGAGTAGGCTGAAGATTATAGCCTACATAAGGCTATAGATTATACAAAACCTGTTCTAAGTCACAAGTGGTGTTAATTTCTTGAATAGCTGTGCAGGTATTTGACACTCCTCTCTCGAGCTCTGTGGATGTCAGTCTTTTGTATTCGTAGGCAGGAACCGGTTTATCAGGCCTTTCGCAGTGTTGTGAGATATCGAGATTGCCTATAGTCCACATATCGCCATGGGAACCAGGTAAGTAAGTCAAAGTCCTTGAGAAAGTCAGAATGATTTCGGTAGGCCTATATTTTTAAACAGAGAATCTATACCAACCTAGAACAAGTGTAATTTGTTGGCAAATTACCTATTGGCAAATAGCACCTATTTCTAGCTTTGTTATTCCAGTCAGTTGCCACATGGTGCCATCAAAGACCTACGAATAGTCCCATTCCAATGCATTTCATTTTCAAATACACTTAAAATATATATATTTTTAAATAAATAAATATAATAATAATAATAATATATATATATATATATCAGCTGAACAAGTGACCTGGAAAGGACTTGAAGGAAGATGACAACTTGCATTTATGCAGGCAAGAAGAATCAAAACATACTTTAGAGTAAATTTGGCTGCTTTGTGCCCTGTAAAGGTCAGCATGCTGTTACTTTCAGTTATAATAGTATAAAAAAATAATTTCAATTCCATGATGAGGAGGTTATGTTTTGGAGTAGTATAGCTTGCTATTTGTGAAGCATATTTGGACCATCTGTTGTGAGAGCTGTAGTTGTGGAATTGCTATTCACTCCAAATGCAATGCAATATAGATGTAGATTCAGGCATTCAAGAATGATTTAGCTTTCTCAAACCATTCAAATGTGTTGGATTTGTTGAGCTGCTTTAAATGACATCCAATCGAAACATGTGCTTCGATTTACAAGAATATGTATGACTTTTTATTGCTTTTGTTCAGTGGCCTATTTTCAGTGGGAAATGTATCCTCTATTTTTGTGTTATAGATTTAAATGGTCATGAGATGTTGTGGCTTTTTGGTTACAAAAAGACACGGTGTCCTTATTGCCCTATGAATAGAGGATAGTGTGATAATGTGTATGTGTAGGGTTCCTGGAAATCCCTGACATTGTATTTCATTTAACATTTTTGACTGGTCAGTGTCACACTGGTGCTACAGTCTGTTATAAAACAGTTAGTTTTGGTTTCTCGAATTTGATTAGCTGAGCAGTGTTCTAACAGCACTAGGACATTTCACTGTTTGTATCACTCATCTTATTAAATGTATAACTGTCATCTTTTATGTCACATTCTTAAATTTAATCAAATTCATTTAGAATAATAAGACACTATAGGGCTGTTACCAATCAAATGAAATCAGTATCTACACAATCCATGCTTGCACTGCATAGGTGGAACAGAAGCTGCATCTGAAGAAGACTGTAATGCACGGATGCATTTACAGCGATTATAATTGCATAAATAATGTTACAAGATTAATAATTAATAATTTCAGAACCATAACATTATAAAATATTCCTAGTGAAGCATAAATTGTTGTAATTTCTTAATGACTTTGGAATGTAGTGGTCTGTTTACTGAAATGAAGCATCCTCAATGATGTATGCAGCCCACGCAGCCTTCGAAATGAGACAGCAATAGTGAGCAACTGTCCCGTCTGTCAGATGGAGTGGCCATGATAGCCACCAGAGGGCACACCTCCTGTCTCCTTGATCATATCATGAACTGCATTTCCCATGATTCATTGCCTGGACTTATGTTCTGATTCCTGCCACTTGTGTATGATTTATCTCTGTCATGTTTGCCTATTTAAGCCTTGTGTGTTTTGTCAAATTTGATTGGAACTATTTTTGTGGCCAACATAGTGCATAGTCCTCAAACACGTTTTAGTCACACTGGCACGAAAAAAGGTTGCAAAATGCAACCATGATTGCATTTAACTCCACTTTTAGACAAACACTCACAAACTTTCATAAGAACTTCCCCTCAGTGGAATCCCTGCAGCCATTTTGAAGTGTTTTCAACCTTATATATACAATATACAACTTATATATACCTTATATATACAAAATGCAACCATGATTGCATTTAACTCCACTTTTAGACAAACACTCACAAACTTTCCTAAGAACATCCCCTCAGTGGAATCCCTGCAGCCATTTTGAAGTGTTTTCAACCTTGTCAAGTAGGCAATTCTGACTGAGGGAGCGAGTCTACTCAAAATGTATAAGGTGTATTTCATAATTACCATAGATTTCAGCATGTACTACCTGACCTCTGCAGATTTATTTAGGCGTTGAAATTGTTGCCATAGAAACAAATTATTTCCAGTCTGAGAACGTAACGTGTTGTCATCTCGAAATTATTGTAATTACGACATGGCGTGAGCGCAGCAACCCTTCATAGACCACAATGCAACACGGTTGTGACGTCACATCAGATCGTGCATAATTTACCCCCACCCCACATAACTCTAGTGTATGATATTGGAGTTATTTTGACATTTAACAACATACTTAACCAACATACTTGTAGCTACCTTAAGCTGGCTGTTTACAGTTATAATTTATTGTATTGTTATCATATTTGTTTGTGTAATTTTAATTTTTAAAAACAGCCCAAGCATACAAACAGGCCAATAAAACGAACTCATAATTACATTTTGTCCAGGAATGCTCTGTTATAAATAATGATAAAACATTCATTTGGCTGATGAGTATGCAAACTGAAGGTGCGTTTAGGGCTCATTGGATAATTCCAAAGTCGTCTAAGGCCTTGACAAGGACAGTGTCTTTGACGTCGGTGAAGACTTTGCGGATGTTTTTGGTGTCTGTGGCACAGGTGAAGTGAGAGTAGATTTGTTTGGAGTTCTTTGTCTCGTTGGAAACTGCATTGTGTATATATAAACTTCTGATGAAATCCATGGCATCTTGAACGTCCCGACGTTTACCTGAAGATGGCATCAAACCACAGAGGAAAGGAAAGAAAGAGTCAATCAGGTATGACAAACAAGAGGTAATGCTGCCTTTCACTTTGATTGAATGTGCACCAAACTACCTTCAAATCCAGGAAAGTATGTTTTTAGATCTGAGGACTGAATCTTTTCAGCCAGGATGTCCATTTTGTTCAGGAAAAGGATGACAGAGGAATTGGCAAACCACATTGAGTGGATGGTCGTGTAGAACAGTGACAAGCTCTCTTGCATACGGTTCTGTAGCCAAAGAGAGGAAGAGTACAAAGATTAAGAGATTTGTCAATTTTACACTGAAAGGACAGGAGAGATATTAGGAGCATACATCCTTGTTATTCTCCTCCAGAAGTTGGTCGTACTCGCTGATGGAGGCTAGAAATATGAGCGAGGTCACATTTTCAAAGCAATGGATCCACTTTTTTCTCTGTCCTCTCTGACCACCGACATCTACAATCCTGAAAAGACAGACAGAATAGAAATCAAGTTTAGTTCCATCCACTTCTATATTTTATCTGGTGTGGTGAATTTGCACCAGGCCTAGATTTGTCCTCAAAATCTGTTCCTTATTCCTTTATCACATTTCTTCTGAATCAGATGGCTTCTCAGCTTGATTTTTGATTTACAGAAACACTATGGACCAAACGAGGTTATTAACAAGACACAGTTGAGACACGAGGGCAAATCAAACACTATGGCAACAGATGAACGAGACTAAGAAACTGAACTAGGAACATTGCAAAAAACTAACTCAAAGTCCAACTGAAGCAAAACACTAACAAAGATCTGATGTTGACATTGCCCCCCTTTCAAAAATGCATGTCCCCGCACCTTAAAACAACAACAAAAGTCTAACATAGGAAGGCGGGCGGGGGCTTAGGAGGAGGACGCAGAGCTGGCAGACGAGACAAACGACCTCCTTGTTTGATCCAGGACAGGCAGAGGAGATGGGAATGGGAGGCATGGTGGTAGCATCATAGACAACACTGACATGGTGCTGGGCGACGAAACAGGCTTGGTGCTAATCCTCCTCTATGAAATAACAGACTGGGCTTCATTGGCTCTGGATCTGCAGTGGGCTAAGGCTTCTCCTCCTCGTGGGGCTTCGCCTGTTTTTCAGTGCAAGGCTGAGCGGTGAGTCTGCGGGGAGCTCTGTCATGAGGCGCTCCATTTGAGGAGTGGCTGCTGGTCAGCATGTGCTGCTGGCACAAGATGGGCTGAATCCTCTTCACTCTATCTGATGGTGTTGGGGGATCTGCACTGTTGTAATACCCACTCGACAAAATCGTGGAATGTCCCTTGAGGGCTGTCTCTGGCCAGGCGTGCCTTGGTCTCTGGATTCATACCTGCCTGGAAAAACATGCAGAGGCGGATGTAGTGCACGAAGGGGACCAGATCTAGGAACTTCTGCGTGATGTGCACCTCGAGGGATAGATCCCGCTGGGAGAGGAGGAGGATCTGAACTGCTGTATTTTTTCAGGTATGATCTTCTGTGAGCAATGGTTTGCAAAAAATGGAAAAGTGTTGGATCTATTTGCAAGCAGTAAAATCACAATAACTTCAAAATTACATTCCTTAAAGGGATAGTTCACTTTGAAATTAATTTTTGATATGTTTTAGCTTATCTCAAGGGCATCCAAGATGTAGGTGTCTTTGTGTCCACAGTATTTTCAATTTTGTTATTTTTAGGTCAAACCGTTCTTGTCTGTCAGTCATATAATGCAGGCCTATGGGGTCCACCTCAAAGAGCATGCACAGAGAAGTCCAAATTAAACATGATTTAATGACTCGTAAATGTAAGTACACATTGATGCCCTAAGACACGAAACGAGCGGTTTGTGTGAGAAAACAAACAGTATTTAGATAGTTTTTACCTCTTGTAATCACAGTCACGTCCAAGTACTCTGATGGCGTGGAAGCCTCTGTCTGCGCAAGCGCCGAAAAGCCCCGGAAGTGATCTCTCGTGCGTGTACGTCACTCATTGTTTACACAGAGATTTCGGACATTTTACCTTTCACTGTGAAGATCTAAACATATTTAGATATACAGGAAATCGCAATGGAAGACGATTTCGGTATATCAACAGACAACGTAGAATTTATTTCAAAACCATATTTATTTGAACCTGAATACACCGGGGCGGGGCTTTCCGGCGCTTGCCGGCGCTTGCGCAGACAGAGGCGCCCGCGCCCTCAGATCACTTGGACGTGGCTGTGGTTACAAGAGGTAAAAACGATGTAAATACTGTTCGTTTTCTCACACAAACCGCTCGTTTCGTGTCTTGGGCCATCAATGTGTACTTACATTTACGAGTCATTAAATCATGTTTAATTTGGACTTCTCTGTGCATGCTCTTTGAGGTGGACCCCATAGAGCTGCATTATATGACTGACAGACAAGAACGGTTTGACCTAAAAATAACAAAATTGAAAATACTGTGGACACAAAGACACCTACATCTTCGATGCCCTCGAGGTAAGCTAAAACATATCAAAAATTAATTTCAAAGTGAACTATCCCTTTAAGGAAATCTAGACAAAACACAGGAAACAATCAAAATCACAGGAAACAGAACAACCAGAGATGAGATCTGACAAACAACAACTGAAAATGAGGGCTATACTGTATATACACCAATAAACATAGAGGCTGCAATTCGCCTACTTATACTACGCCCTAAAAGTATATACTTTTGAGTGTGTAGCAAAAGAGTAGGCAAGCTTTGGGACATACTACTTCGTCATCTTTAACGGACAGCTCTGTCACGTGCATCCTGTCACCGTAAACTGCCCTGTCAATCATCGTGTCACAGTTAAAATCCTCCATTCAATCTAATTCTGTTAATTCAATTAAATCTTAATTTCTTACTGTTTCGGAGAGAAATGTTGTAGCACGTTCACCTGCCAGTCGTGGGTCTTTCATGCGGAGACTCACCTCATGTGTTTGAAATTTGAATATAATGATGCATTTAAAAGTTAATGGCTAAACGTATCTTTACAAAAGTTCACAATGCTGCTGCAGATGCAATATAATGTAGCCAACATTGAATAAATAAATTTTCGTCAGGTTAGATACTGATAATTAGTCACTCAAACCCCTTTATCTAAACCTCTCTACATAACTGCCGGACTCGCGCGTCTTCCATGTCTGTAGTTTTTTAACACTTTTCACTCGTGTTTGTAGTTCTAACCGACTGGGTTGTGGGCAATATTAGCCGTTAAAGTGCGCATTGATCTGCACTTCGGATCTGACCGGATATAGTAGACCATCCGGGTATCTTTGGAACACTCATTTCAACATACTACGATTTGGGATGTACTAATTCTATTTTCGAATACTATTTAGGACGGATAGTATGCGAATAGGGACGCAGTTAGAGACTAAACAAGACTAAACTATGCCCGAGACAAAGGAAACTGAACTGGGGGGTATTCCAGAAAGCAGGTTATGTGACATACCCGGATATGTTTAAGGGTAAGTAAGCGAACAAACTCAACTTTATTTTCAAAGTTTTATAAACTTTATTTATTTATGAGGTAATTTTCAGGGTATGTAAGAAGCCATTGCAACTTCCTCTCTGAACATAACCAGAGCAGGTTCTGTTTCAGGGTTAGTTTACTTAAGATGTGTTCAGCGCATGCATGATCTATTGATGAGGCTCCAGTGGGCGTGACAGATTGCGCACAATATTATATATATAGTTATATCGATATATAAAGCACTATTAAAACAAGGTAATGTTTATTTTATTCTCATCTTAATTCTCATCTCACACGTTGCTGATCTGTATTGAGGTTTTTTTTGTGCAAAAGACTGTTTTCTATGTTATAATGTAATTCTATAAAAAAAAAAAAAACATATGATATATCTTACCTTTTCAGCAATGTGGAAGCAAAATAACTAAACATAAAAAAATAAACTTATACAGCCATGTTCTCTTTGCTAGCACAGACTGTTATTATTTTAATCAGCCTTTCTATTATATTAACTAGCAACACCAAACAAACAATATAGTTCTTATTCACAGTGATTAAAGATTATTAAACGAAAAGTTTGAAAAATGATTGCACAACCACCAAATAGGTGGCAATATGCACTAAGTATGTAAATAGCCATTAAACAAAAGAAGAAGAAGAAGGAAGTAGGGTGCTTCTCAATACTCAAATTGATGCTTCTTCACTGCTTTGTCCTCCAGCCTGTGACTCGAAAACTCATCGGACTCAGCCATCTTTAAGGGCTTCTCAATTTTCTAATTGCACCACGAGGAGGTGAGAAACGAGGAGCGAGAAAGCTTCCTGAGGAGTCATGAGCGAGGATACACAGGTGCATCCTTCCCTTAAATCCTCAGGGGGTGGAGCTACTACTATGACCGTTCATGTCGAGTGCGACGAACTGCTTCCCGTTTTGAGTGTCTCTCTTCCAGAAATGACTTGTAGGCCTACTGAGAGTCACTGCGGCCGTTGTTAATTGCTGTGCGCCATTTGGTTCTGTCATTTGCAAGTGCCTCTCCTTTGTCCAGGTTGATGGAGAAAGCCTAAGGATCCCTCTTAATGTCATCTTTAAAACGTAGACGGGGGCGACCATGTTTGCGGGGGGCATTTGCCAGCTCGCCATAAAGCAAGTTTTTGGAAGGCGACTGTCATTCATTCGATAAATATGCCCAGTCCAACGGAGGTGGCGTTCACGAAGGATGGTGTACAGTACAGGTCACTGGAACCAGTTCTCTCAAGTATGACAGAGTTTGGCACATGATCCTTCCAGCATACACCCAGTATGGAACGAAGGCAGCGAAAATGGAAGGCGTTGAGGCGATGTTCGTGCCTCCTGTATGTTGCCCATGTCTCACTTGCATATAGTAAGGTGCTCAATACACATGCATGGTACACACGGACTTTGAGGAGCAATGAGAGGTTCTTGTTGTGCCAGACACGCTTGCTCAATTTTCCAAACATTGATGATGCCTTCCCAATGCGCATGTCAAGCTCTGAGTCAAGGTGATTGTTGTTTGATACTGTGGAACCCAGGTAGGTGAATTTGTCTACCACAGATAGACATGTGTTGTTAATGTATACTGTAGGGTTTAGGGTTGCAGGTTGGGCAAGAATAACTGTCTTTTTGAGACTAATCTGCAAACCAAACTCTAGACATGCAGCAGCAAAAGATGAGCAGAGTAGTTGTAGATCTGCCTCTGAGTGGGCAACAAAGGCAGCATCATCAGCATAAAGCAGCTCACGTACTAGAACATGGCGCACTTTAGTCTTCGCCCGCAGTCTGGCCAGATTGAACAGTTTTCCTGAACTGCGGGTATGTAGAAGTATACCCGAGTCATCAGGGAAGGCACGGCGTAGTAGGGCAGAGAAGAAGATTCCGAAGAGGGTAGGAGCAAGGACACATCCCTGCTTTACCCCACACCTTATCTGGAACTTGTCAGAGCGAATGCCTTCAGACTGTACAGTTG